GGATGGCCAAATCCAAGTACTGATGTTCAGTGTAAGTGTCTTTTTCTTCAGGTCCTTCTTGAAGCCAAGTGCCAGGCTCACAAGTTGAAGTTTGGAGTGGACATGCACCTGCCTTCCTAAGGTGACTTTGTCCAGAGGGAAGTCCGAAGATTGAATGCAGCACAATCAACCATCGTTTGACCTCACTGGAGTGAATCGGAGGCTTCTTAAAAGGGCTCTTTGTGCCAAAAAGAAAAAAAATAGACAGCAATCATCAATTGCAATACCACCAGCAGCCATAAATCAACCACCAGCACACTCACTGCTTCCACTAGGACAAAAAACTGTCCTCTTCTGGTCCAATCCATGAAGAGGAATAATCAACTGTTAACGCACTAAGGACACCTTTGCTTCCAATCAGAAGTACTTTGCTTTCTTCAATGCCGAAGAGATACCATGCTAATTCTTTTTTTACTAAAGTTGCAAGGGACTCACTTTTCCATTGTTTGATTGTGCAAGGCTGCCTTTCCTCTCTATATTACTGTATATTCCTCGAAATCGTCTCTCTCCTCCCCGTTACAGTGCTCTCTTGCTCAGTTGGGGAAAAGCCTGTGTTGATTTTAAAATAATCGGCAAGACATTGGAGTGAATGAGAGAAAGTTTTGCTTTGAGATTAGAGTAGGTAGGGTGTGGTGTTGGTCTGCCTTTATTAAGGACCTGCGTTGTACTTTTAAGACCAGGTTCACACGATGTATATGCATGTATGGGTAAAAGAGAAAGGGAAATGTCACTTTAAACACAACCTGAGGGTAACCTGAGGCACGATGGCCAAGCCACTAGTTAGGATGAGTCATGGCACTTCTAGAATGGCATGATTTGAAACCTTGCATTTATGTGCAGGTTGTTTTCTGCAGATAAAAATAAGAATGGCCTGGGGCAAAAGAGAACGTGAGAATTGGGCTTTGATAGCTTTAATGGAAATAACTTGGTATAGTTGGCTTGTTAAGCAAGAAGCAGGGTGGCCTTCCTTAAGAGCCCCTGGCAAATGACTGGGGAAAGATTGGGTTAGATCCCCTGGCTGCTTCCCTGTGAGGATGGGGGTGGCTTAGGTGTGCAAGAGGAAAGTCTTCAAGCTTCTCTTCTGTCAAGCTAAATAGTGATGGTGTGGGGGGGTGGGAATATTCGGGAACTGGCAAACTTACCTAGCCTTTAAATAAGAGCAGCCAGTTCAGGTGTTTTGGCTTATAGCTTCCATTGTCCTTAATTGATTATGTTAGTTGGGTTGAAGGGCATGTCCAAAGCATCCAGAGAGGACCAATTTGCTTCCTGTTCAGAAAAGCTGACGGAGGAAAAAGGTATTTGTTGAAAAGAGTTAATGGGGGAGGGTGGCAAGAAAAAAGACGAGTGGGAGGGCGTGTCACTGTGTGTTTGAAAGGAGACCACCAACTTCCACATGAGGGTGCATCGTTTTCCAGGGCCGGCCCTGGTGGTTTTGGGGAGGGGATTTGGGTATTACGGGGTTGATATTGAAACTTGGAGAACATTTTGTTGGATTGTAGCTTTCACTAAAAAAAAAAAATGTTTGTATGTTCCTCTGCTTGATTTGTACTCTTTCTAATTCAAATAAAATTATATCTCTGCCTGCAGTTGTATATGTGCGTGTATTTAGGGATGGGTCTGTATTTAGAGGGATCTTGGAGGGGAGAGAGGTGCAGTGATAAACTTTTAAAAAAAATTAAAAGAAAACTTTATTAAAGATTAAAAAATAAAAAAAACTATGCACAATACATCGAATACAACTTTACGTTGCAGACAAAATCTATATATAAGAAAACATAATAGATACCTATAAAACATATGTTTCTGATCAACTAAGACGGTGTGATTTTTTTCTTGGTAATAATTTTGCTACCTTTTGTTTCTTAATTTGATAAACGTTCTTAATTTAACCACTCCATTCATCAAAACCATCTCTTTCAATTTCCTGTTTTTTTCTCTTTAATCCACTTATACCATTTATCCCAAGCTGTAATATATCTTGACTTTTCCTTATTCCTAAGTTTTTGTGTGAGTAGGTCCATTTCAGCGCAGTCAAGTATTTTCTGAGTAATCAAATTATTTGTTGGCATTTGATTGCCCTTCCAACATTGTGCCAACGCAATTCTTGCCGCTGTGATTATATGGAGAATTAAATATTTCATTTCATTTGCATAGTCCCCTTTTAACATTCCCAACCAAAATATTTCAGGTTTAAATTCTAATTGAATACTTGTAATTTCTTTTATCCACAGTGTAATTTTTTTTCCAGTATTTTTAACTTTTTGGGTAGAGCCACCAAGTGTGGAAGAAGGTTGGACGCATCTGTCCTCATCTCAGCTTGCAACTGAGTTTATACTGTCCTTCACTTTCTGCCAGTACCTACTTCCTCACAATTCCCCATTAACAGGTACACATTTCAAAAAGTACAGCATGGTACTGTAGGCTCAGTAAGGAGGGACCTGTATGGTATATTGGCCACAGTACTGAATTAAGAGGGAGGAAACCCGGGTTCTAATCTCACCTCAGTCACAGAAGCCACCTAGCTGATTTTGGGCCAGTTACCCCCACCTCAGCTCTGATCCATATCAGACTGCAGCAAGCTGGCTGATAACCAAAACTCCTTTGTCACATCAGGCATTGATAGCTTTGCTGCAAGAACTAGGAAGGCTCTTGCAACTTTGTGAGACAAATGCTAAAAAAAAAACCCAACAGCCACATGACGGATCCATTGAGCATTTGGGAAGCATCAGTCCCTTTCCTTGGTTCCCTTTCTTTGCGGCCTATATACTGCTTGGCTATTCATTGGATCTGTTTAACCTATTCACTTACGATACGAGACAAAAAAACTACATTGATAAGTCATCTGTCCCAAATGATTTGTTTGGCAGCCTGCCTGCCCCAGCATTTTCTGATACGCAAACACGGATGAGCATTACCCCGTCATCTGTTTTCCTGCCAGCTGATAATATGGAGCGCTGAGGATCTACCTTCTGCTAATGGTGGCAGACAGCCAATAGATTGCTAGGATAATTGGGGCAGAGACAGAGATAAAGATAACTGGCCAGTAGAAAAAGTAGGTGGGTTCCGTGTAATTTAGGGGTGGCATTTTGGTCTGAAGGCCACAGGCTGCTCACTTTATATACTATACAACCACGTCTCTGAACATTTTCTCTTCGTGATTAGCTTTTCCTGTTGCTTGTTTTTCATTTCCTCATCCCGCCACAATCTCTATACATTTTCTTCCCAGGTGTCTGCATACATTTCCATTCCTGAATTTCCTCCCCTTTTGGTCTGATCCCATCCAACTATTGTTACCAAAAACATTTACTTTCTTTTTATCCTTCTCCATATTTTCCTGCCTCCTGATCCCGGTGTTCTTCTCTTCGCTCCTCTTGGTTGCCGTTGTTCGTAGAGTTCCTGTTTTCTTGAGAAAACACAGCCTAGTAAGGGTATGTCGGATGCTGGTGGGCTGAGCAATATGGCACTTGGTAATTGGTATTGGTCTCTTTGGAGGGAAAGCTTTGCTCCCATAATAATGATTATTTTCTTTAATTCAGCAAACCTTGAGTTTCCTTGAGAGTGTATGTTTCTCAGGTTCCTTGTTTATGCTCCTGTTCCGTTGACACTTAATACTCACTAGAGGGAGTAGATTTCAAATTCATTGTCTAGGGAGCTTGAAGCATTCCAAACATTTCTCAGCAATGCATTCCAAAATCCTCTGTCTAAAGCATTTCAGAATGATCTCTAGGTTGCAAATGAAAGAAACAGAAAGATGCTGCCTATCTCATTACCCCTGAATTTCTGGCAGAAAAAAAATTGGAAGGTAGATTAGCAGCTATCCTTCTAGGTATAGTTCTCACCGCCGTGGGTAAGTCTACGTTGGCGTAAATACCTGTATATCGGTGCAGGTGACGGAAGGCTTGGCTGAATGCTCTTTGAGCGCAGAACAGCAGATGGCTGAGCTGCAACCCGTCTCCCTTATTCCCTCTCTATGTGACGTATCGCACAAACAGTGGATATGAAGTGGTATGGTCCAGGCAAGGATAATCTCTGCTTCAACCAAATGACATATAGCAGTCCTGGATAGCAATGGCCTGCACCAATCACTTGCCTGTTTTATTTAAAGGTGCCTGCTGCCTCCTGCTGGAAGCTGTAATCCTTCCCTGGCATTTGCATCCCTGTAACTCATGCCTGAGGCGAAGAGGAGAAAGGGAGCCTTGTTTCTACCCCCACCCAAGTCTCCGCTGTCTCCTTTTCCAGTTCTATCAAGCCAGGGCACAATTTAGCAGTGGAGAACTGGTGAACCTCAGCATCCATCCTCTTTCGTGTGGAAGATGAATTGGGCAGCAGATGCTCTGAAGCCAGTCCTAGTCCTTCCTAGTGGCTGTTGCTCGGAAAGACAGAGGGAGAGGAAGGGGGCAAGGCCGGTGGGCATTTGACCATGTAGCTGCTTCTGCCTCCTGGGCAGGAGAAGTAAGAAGCAGTGTAGAGAGCGATGAGCTTGGCAAGGGAAAAAAAAACCCAATTCCCTGCCCCCCCCCCCCATAGCACCCAGAAAAAGAAGGAAGCCAATCTTGGAGAAGGAGGCAATGTAGCATTGCTCCCCCCTTCTTCCATCACGATCAGCGGAGGAGTACCGAGACTGCAGAGGAAAAGAGCGTAAGCAATCGTCACCCCTGGAGATCGCTATGAGGAATGGGGGGGGGGGGCAAACAGGACTCTGCTGCCAGATTCCAGGGGTGGAGAACCTGAGCAACTCGGTGGAGAAGTGGAGCTGCTGGAGCAGAGGTATGCAGAGTTTTCCCCCACCCCAAAGGAGGAGGAGCTGAGCAAAGGAAAGGAGAGTGGCCAGAGAAGGGGGTGCATTCAACCGGCTTCAGGCACGAATGCTCTCGTAGGATTGGGCTCCCTGGAGGAAGGAAAAGAAAAACACTTCTTGCAGAAGGACACTTGCAGCAGGCTTCTCAAAGGAGACGTAGACCATGTTGGCAGCCCGAGAAGCAGCAGCGCTCTATCAGACCGACTTTGTGCGCAATGCCAGGGCAGTGGGTGCCCTCTGGGCTGGCTGTAGCCTCTGCTTTGGCATCTTGGAGGTGGTGGTGCTTATCCAGCCAGCATGGGTACAAACAGCACCCCTCACCTACCAGCTGCCGATCTCCGGGTCCCTCTCCGACCCCAGCGTGAGCGCTGTGGGCTCCTTCGGCCTCTACCAAGTATGCACGGAGCAGGACGGAGTCCTCCAGTGCGAGGGATCGCTGGTCACCCTAACCCCCATCCCATCTTTCAAAGCAGCTGCTGTCTTTGTCCTGATGGCCCTGGTGCTGGTGATGGGCAGCGTGGCCTCCCTGGGTCTCTTTTGGGTCTGCAGCGCAGGGACCGTCTACAAGGTGTGCGCCTGGCAGCAGCTTTCAGCAGGTAAGAGAATCCAGGTTGGGCTGTCATTTTTGAAAAAGCAAGGAAGAAACTTGGAAGGGGGGGTAGGAATGGGACTGGGATAGGGAAAGAGGCCTGCAAAAAGAGATGCTGCCAAAGCTCAAGTCTCACACAAGCCACGCTGTCAACTTAGCAATCGAATGTGTAAATCATGAAATTTGGACTCGTTGAGGATAGAAACTGTTAAATTCAGACAAGACCATGGAGGCTTCATTCAGAATAAATAGGAATGTTCAGACTCAAAGGTTATGTTTCCCTTCCACCTGTGTGTTGTGGCTCTGATTCCCGAGCCTGTGCTGTTAGAGGAAGAGGACTTGGAAGATGAGGAGGAGGAAGTGGGAATGCCTTCTTCCCCAGGACCTTCCTCTCTGGCAATGCCTTCCTCCCTGATAATGCCTCAGGTTTCATCAGACAACCGAGAGGAACAGCCTGAGATTAATCAGGAGGAAGGCATATCGGAGCAGCCCCTGATAGGGAGCCAAGAGAAAGAATGTTGGCTTGATCCTAAGCAGCGTCATAGGGAGAAACGTGAGCAGCAACGTAGGAGGCGTGGGAGGGTCAGAGAGTGAGCTGAGTCATTGAGCCACACCCCACAGGGGATAAAAGTGGGTGTGTTGTCGGCTGGAACTTTGTACGGAACAAAGTTTGATCTTACTTCAGGTTTTCTTTGGGAATGATTTTTGTGGTCTGCCTTGTAATTTTCTGTAAGTAGCTTTTTACTTTGTTATCAGTTCGGACTTGGCAGGCAGAGAGTGTTGGAATGCCAAGGACGTTATCAGTTCCAAAGAATTAACTCTGTGAAGTCCGAGCCAGCCTGCCTGCCTGCCTGTGTTTGTGTGAGTTTGTACTCTTTCATCTTTTTGGAAAGAAGAAAGGTGAGACAGAACACCTGTGTACCTGAGCTTTGCTGGCTGAGGAACTCTGGGAGTTGAAGTCCACTGGTCTTAAAATTACCAAGGTTGGAGACCCCTGCCTTAGAGGATGTTAAGTGGCAAAACTCTTCTGTTCTGATCAGCAATAGCAGCTTTGAGAATGAAGGTGGTTCCAATGACCAGGCTTTGGAGTTACCAAGGCAGAGAAAGTGGAATTACAATCCATGAGTAAGGCACAGTGTGAAGCAAATGTTAATTTTGCATCCAGGTAACCCAGACGCCATTCTAAACAAGCTAAACTCTGAAACTGGTCTGAGTTGTGCAAATGTACATTTTGTGTGTGTGTTGTGTTCACTTTTTTGTGGGGAGTGTATTCTGATTTATTTGTGTAACAGTATAGAAGGATGTAAAAGACATGAAGGGATGGGGAGGAGCTGTTGTGTTTTGGTAGTCACTGCCCATCTCTTTTCAATCATTCTTTGTGGCAATAAAGCCTGCTGGCTTGGTTTAGAAATGAATGCTAACTTGGAAATTGAATGATGTGCTCAGGAGTCTGGTTCTTCCAAAGGTCTCTTCCCTTTCAATTAGGGTAGGGTAGGATAAGTTCTTGATGGACTGTGTCATTTATTAATTAGCAGGAAGATAGTGTCATAGATGTTGATATCATTTCAGACAAATGGTTGTTTAATCTCTTCGTAAAAACCTCCAGTGTTGGAGTACCCTCAGCTTCCGAAGTTGTGGGCTCTCCAATACTGGAGGTTAAAGACCAATACTGGTCTTTAAAGAAGAGATTGAACAACCATTGGTTTGAAATGGTACGTATAGGATTTCTTCCTTGAGCAGGAGCTTGGACTCAAGGACCTCCAAGGTCTATTTCAACTCTGTTATTTTAAAATGCCAAAACATGTTGGGACTGATCAAATTAAAAAGCAACCAGTTCTTATCTCTCCCCACTGGATTCAGAATTGTGGGCCGTTTAGGAAGCATCTTCAAAGGACCCTTTTAACCTGGAAATGCTGGGATAGAAACTTCCACAGGTTGAAGCCAATTGTCTTCAATCTTCTGTGTGAAACAAAAATTTCTGGTGATCTGAGAGCACTGGTAAATGATCGTTTTTGTTACCTTTCAAATACAACCATGGGAGAGAGTTCTATGTGGTTAAGGCCATGCATTAATTCAGATTCAGACTGGAAAAGGTACTTCAGAGCTAACATGGCATGTCAGGAGCACCTTTGGAAACTCTGTAAACCTGGTTTTTCAAACTGTTGATAACCACTCCCTTATGGGGTCAAGAGCAATTTTGAGGGGCTTGCGCATACCAAGAAGGAACAGTATTAAAACATATTCCCTCACTGCCTGTATAAGCAAAATTGGGCTTTGCTATTTCATTTTAAACATGAATCCAAGATAAATGTGGAATGTACAGCAGGAAGGTCTCTTTCAGAAATAAAATCCAGATTTCAGGAATTATGCTAAACTTTGTTCAAAATATGGTTGTAAATGTGATAGGGGAGTATTATTGACTTTCTATAAAAATATTTTGTATTATTAAGTTGCAAGATTTTAGCACAGTTTTCATACAGAGTTTAAAATCCGATGATTAAAGTGCAGTAAATTGTATGTTTCTTTCTTGCACAACCTCAAATCCAATGAAATAGGTTATTGTATTTGCGGCACTGTCATTCATTTATCACTTTTAGGAGTCATGTCACTGGAAGGTTAGAGGATCCCTGCCTTCAATCAAATTGTTGTTTTTATGGGATTCTGCTGCAAAAGAGCAGGCATCCAGTCCTGCCTCATTTAGTGACCATTTGCAGTTATTACTACAGAAACTTTGTGGCCAATCTGCACATTTATGACTTTCCCAGATCTGTAAAGAAAAGGACAGTTGAAGTAAGATCTTTAGGATGGTTGCAGTTGCAATCAGTGACAGCTTCACTTTGACAGAGTTGCCACTTTCAATTGTCTTAAAATGAGGACTGCCTGTATATATCTTAGGGTCATTTACACCCACCCAGTCAGCAATCATGCTGCCTGCTGATATATTTGTCGAAACAGCAGAAGATGAAATTATCTTCTGCTGATAATTTCAAATATGAAATTATCTTGACAGCAGACATAGTGAAATTTCACCTGCTTTTTGCTAGGCCGGGCTGGGGGAGTGACGGACAACTAAAATAGAAATCTGCAGCGTGCTAATGAGGTTAGAGCCACACTGGATGTAAGCTGAGGGGAGAGAGATTTATTTGGATACCTTCTCTCTCCTTATGCCTATTGGTGGAAAATGTGCTTCCAAAAAAAAAGGAGAGTTTGAGACTCATTTTTGCAGAAGAAACTCTCACTTCTGTGTTCGGTGCAGAAGCAGGAAGAGGCTAGTAATCCCAGTGGAACCTTCTTTGTCATGTTTTGCCTCCATGGCTGATTGTGGGAGGCCGTTCAACCCAAAACAAACTTGGGGAATCTCCCTTGAGTGGAAACCAACCTCCTGCTCTAATGTGTGTTTTCACGTTTGCATAAAACATTCCTTCTTTTCTTGACCTAGTTAGTTAAGTATGATGTTGTGTGAACTGAATCACAGGCAGAAGAACATCAAGACTGAGGAAAGTCAGTGGGTTTATATTCCACAGCAAGTGTCTGTATGGACTCTGTTAATTCTCTCTCACTCCCCTCTTTCCTCTTTGTCTGCCCATCTCTCTGTTTCACAGCGACTTGTCAGGCTCTTGGCTGCCTGGTCTTCCCAGACGGCTGGGGAGCGCCAGAGGTGAGGGCTCTGTGTGGGCCCCAGGCCAGGAGCTACACCCTGGGTACTTGCTCAATCCACTGGGCCTTTACTCTCGCCTTGCTGGGCATCGCTGACGCGTTGGTTCTGGCCACCCTCGCTTTTGTGCTGGGAAACAGGCAGGACGCTCTCTTGCCTGCGGGCTACACACCACCCCGAGAGGGAAGAGGTAAGCATGGGCACATTTTGTGCCTCTTCTGTCTTGGGTAACAAATGGAGCCAACGGATGCTTCGGATGCTTCTACAAAGCCAGCTGCATGAGAGGCACGACTGGCAGTCACATGAGCTGTTGCTTAGTTACAGGCAATGAGACACCCAAATGCAATTGGGATTGAAACTGTCCTGCCACTGGGTGTTCTGACCATGACGTGAATAAAGTGCATTCTTTCTTGCATCTTACAAATATCCTTCCCTTTGTCTTACATGTGCAAAATGATTTAAAAAAACACCCCGCTTGTTCTCAAGGAATACAAATTCTGTGCAGAGACTCCCTAAAAAACTGGGAGCTGCAAATCTGGGTCTTTTTCAATTTATGCTAGTCTTTGGAAGAGATACGAAAACATTCTGTTCTTGTGACTAAATGTTTTGGGCAAATGCCAAGGTATTTGTCTCACCTGTCTCCCTTTTGGCTACAACGGGAAGCCCAGACTAATTTGTTAGTCTTGATTAGCCTTGATTTGTGAGCACTAATAAAGCTGGGCTGAAGAAAAAAAATCCAGATGATTATTTAATAGAAATGAAGAATTGTAGTTCTTTGATCTTCTGCAGCCCAGATACGATAATCCTATCAAAACCTGATATCAGCAGGTTAATGAGGCTTACTCAAACATAACAGTTATATAATATTTAGGGCTCATTTGAATGATAAACAGTTGAGAAATTCACATAGAGACAAACAACAATTGCTGGCCTTTAATTTTTCCACTTTACTACAGACTGACATGTCAGGGCAATTATAGGAAATTAAAATGGCACGATTTTGTTCCAATTTAAAATGTTGCTATGTCTGCCAAAAAAAGAAAAGACTTATTAAGGTTAGAGAACATGTTGGCATCCCTCAAGTTTGCAGAGTGCTCTACTCACAAGCCTTGCCATGGGAAGCTCATATGACTGATTGGTGTGTAAAGCTTCAAAGAACCAGCAAAGCTCCTTGGACTGCAAGGTTAATTATCGCTCAAGCATGATGGCAGCTAAAGTCAGTGCACCTGGAGGGCCCTCAGCTGGAGATGGCTGGCTTAACACTTGCCTGTAAATTGAGAAACAATGTCAGAAAAGACAAAAGCTGAAACTCTCAGCTTTTCAATATTCTTTCTTCTTTAATGTACATGCATTGTGAAGGACTTGCACGCATGTGCGCACATGACAACCAAGGGAGAGGACAAAACATCAGGCCTAACGTTTTGTTTAAAGAAAAAGTACAATTTAATAAAGGGGCGTTCATAAGTGCACCTTCGTGCCTACCGTCCCTGTCCTATTGTCCTCATTTATTCGTACCTATTTCCTGTATTCTTACTCACGTTTATACTTATACCTATTATCTTATAAGTGATTGACAAATAAATAAATAAATAATAAAATAAACAATTACCTTCAAAAAACACACTTCAGGAAATGAATGAAGCACTTTTATCTGACTGGGTGATTGCCCATTATTTTATACTCCACAAGTGTCTTTCCTTCCTTCCTTCCTTCCTCATAATGCAACATTTTTAGGATTTATGTGTTTTTAATTGTGTTTTTAGTGCTATTTTGAGGGGGTGCGTAGAGAAACTGGACTTTGGGCATCACAGATTTCATTTCCTCTTTTTCTGCTTGTGGTACGTGCTTAGGTGTGACTTCAGCGCTGACTCCAGATTGATCCCAACGAACAGACATTCTTCAGAGTTGGGTATGTCAACTGTACCCGTAGCAATAAATTGTAGAAAGCGATAATGTAATGTTATGTCTTATTAGTGTCTTTCATGACTTTTTGAAATTGTTTGCATAACCCTTTTCTCTCGTTCAGGGCTGGACAGCAAAAGGCTCACAGACAATATGAATATATGGCGTTCTAATTCTAGGTTTTCGCATGTCAAAAATGTCACAGTCAAAATTTGGCAGCAAGTAATAAATTAGAGCAAGGCAATTTCCAAGTGATGTTCAGCAGGAAATGACAGGAGGTAAAGTCATTAGCAGGTTTAAACTTTAGCATTAAAAATACCGTATTTATCGGCGTATAACACGCACTTTTTCCCCCTGAAAATAGGGGGCAAATGATGTATGCGTGTTATACGTTGATGTCCCGTTCCCAATAGTGCCTAGCGGCGGCGCAGCGTCGTGACGCTGCGCCCGCCGCATATTAAAGGGAATGCGTGTTATACGCCTGTGCGTGTTATACGCCGATAAATACGGTACTCCCCAAGGTCCCCTCCCCTCCCCAAAATGAAACAAAGGACAGTGTTTCAGATTTATCCAGGGGTGGGATTCTACTGGTTTGGACCGGTTCAGACAAACTGGATGTTACATTTTCATCTAGTTCACCGAACTGGTATTTCAACCAACAGGCTGGCCTCATCCACCAGGTCCCACACCCGCCAGGGCCCATTTTCGATTAAGGTAATACGTGCAGGGACTGCACGGAGGCTCTGGGAGAGGGAAAAACGGGCCTTCTGGAAGTCCGGAAACAGGCCTTCTGGCTTCTAGTGGGCCCCAAGAGCCCAGGGGAAGCCTCCAGATCTTTGAGGTGGTGAAAAACGGCCCTCCCAGAAGTTCCAGTGGGCCACGCCCACCCAGCAACCAGGCAGCAAACCGGTTGCTGGGATTTTTGAATCCCACCCCTGGATTTATCCAGACTGCCATATTCCCTGAGGCCTTTAGTGGATGAAAAAATACAGTTGAAAATGAAAAAGTACCTAGTTCCCAAAAAGTTTATAACTCCTGAAATTGTTTGTTGTCAGAGTCCTCTCTGACATGAAAAGAATTGGGAAGAAGGTGTGTCCCTCCAGGAGAAAACCTTGTGATGTTCAAGTTCTATTGAACTCCTCATTCAATATGACATCTGGAAGAGAACAAAGTGCCCAACTCACTCTTAGTGACTCCCAGAGGCTTACTAAGATAAAACTCATGGTGCCCTGTGGATTGATCATCACAAACTTTTTGCTTGTTTAAGGCAAGTATCTACTAGTATCTGGTAGAATACCAATGAAGTTTGACATGGAAATATTTTTTTGAAGATTTTTGACTTTTGAAAGCCCAGAGGTAGACTGGTCATTTAGCACCAACCTCTTTCTTCTAATAGAATAATAATAATAATAATAATAATAATAATAATAATAATAATAATAATAATAATAA